CTTTTTCTTCTTTCTGTCTTTTTTCTTAATTTAAAAAAAAAAAAGTATTTTTTAAACACATAGTTCATGTAGCTAAGTATAGAAGAAACAAAATAGTTTGGAGTTATTAGTTGATTTTATGATCAAATAAGGAAAGGCTGAAAGGACAACAATTTGTTTAACATATGGACATGAATCAATAATTTTTATTGCATAAAACATGTTGCTATATTGAATAGTCCTAGCTTGGACCAATAGAAAATGGACAAAAAAACATGTTATATAACAAACCATCACCACTAATTTGAGTGTCCCATATGCATCCAAATTGCCAAACCTTCTCTGTAAAACAACTGAAAATCCCTTCTTCAAACACAGGAAAACACCCAGTGTAGCCACAAAAAAAAATGACACCAATTCTACTAGCATCACTGATAATCCTTCCTCTTCTACTCATCCTCCTCTGCCGAAAAAGTCGAAAAACTCATGGCCCGCCTGGCCCTCCCGGGCTCCCTTTCATCGGGAACCTCCACCAGTTCGACACTCACAACCCTCACGTCTACCTATGGCGCCTGTCGTGCAAATACGGGCCCCTCATGTCCATGAAATTCGGATCAATCCCCGTGCTCATTGTCTCCTCCCCAAAAATGGCGAAAGAAGTGTTGAAAACTAACGACCTGACCTTCAGCAGCCGGCCCAAGCTCACCGGGCAGGCGAAGCTTTCCTATGACCGTTTGGATATAGCTTTCGCGCCCTACACCGAGTCTTGGAGGGAATTAAGAAAAATCTGCGTCGTCCATCTATTGAGCAACAAGCATGTCCAGTCGTTTAGGCCCGTTCGGGAAGAGGAAGTTTCTCGCATGATCGAGTATTTGTCGGGAAAGGCAGGTTCGGGCCAAGCTATCGACTTGAGCGAGACCCTCCTTACCCTGACGAGCACGTTGATATGTAAGGTCGCGTTTGGGAAGATGGAAGGGTTTGAGAGAAGGAAGTTTGACGAGCTCATGATTGAGGCGCAGGTCATGCAGACTGGGTTTAGCTTCTTGTCGGATTATCTGCCTTGGTTCGGTTGGGTGGATAGGATGAGGGGTTTGGTGGGTAGGCTCGATAAGGTTTGCAAGGATTTTGACGAGTTCTATGAGGAGATAATCAGGGAGCGATTGGGTTCGGGTAGGGGCGGATTGGAGAAGGATCCGAATATTCTCGATCTTTTGATCCGGCTGAAAGAGGAAGGGTCGTGCTCGATTGATTTGACGTGGAATCATGTGAAAGCCATACTCATGGTGAGTGATTGATCTTATTCTTCAATCTTTGAAATCCTCAAAATCCCTGTATTTATTTGTTTATTGTTTGTATGTAGAACATATTTGTAGCAGGCTCAGAGCCCAGTGTAGCCACAATAGTCTGGACCATGACGGCCCTCTTAAAAAACCCAGCAATAATGACTAAGTTACAAAAACACATTAGAGAAATTGTTGGAGATAAAGGCAAAGTAAATGAAGATGACTTGCCAAACCTGCACTTTCTAAAAGCAGTAATCAAGGAGTCTTTAAGATTATACCCACCAACTCCACTTCTAATTCCTAGAGAAACACTTGACAAGTGCACCATAAATGGCTACTCTATTCCACCCAGGACATTAGTCTACATAAACGCATGGGCAATTGCTAGGGACCCCGAGTATTGGGAGAACCCAGACGAGTTTCGGCCCGAGAGGTTCTTGGACACAAATATCGACATTGTGGGGCAAAATTTTGAGGTGATACCATTTGGGTCGGGCCGGAGGGGTTGTCCCGGGATGGCTATGGGGCTCGTGACAGTCGAGATTTTGCTAGCCAATCTTCTTTACTCATTCGACTGGGAACTACCATCAGGGATGAAGAAAGAGGATGTTGATACAGAGGTTTTGCCTGGGATTACTATGCACAAGAAGAACCCACTTTGTCTTGTGCCTAGACAAGTATAGATGCTCTGTATAAGTTTTTCCTTCTTTTTTTTTTCAATTGAGAAGTCTTGCTCAGGTACAATATTGTACTGTCTGGTGAATAAATTATATGCAGTTTTGAACTCTATCTGAAGAATGATGAAATTAAGTGTGGTATTTTCTATGCAAACAACCTGAATACATACCCAATATGATTCATAAACACCATCCTGGACCTGGTGAGTGATGACCAAACACAATCATAGTGTCACAAAGTATATGGAACAGCCAAATCTCACCAAATCTATTCAAAAATAATACAATAGTAAGAACTGAACTGAACATATAATCTAATTAGCACTCGTCGTATTTTGCCAGCCTACATTAGGCTCGGGGATCGCCGGCAATATAGCACATCATGCTTTTTAAAACATCTCAATCTAAGAAAATCCCTCCTTCAACATCATTCCACATTCATATGGACCAAATTTTGTTTGCCACATTGAAAAACCAGAATTTCAATACAAACGTCACAAATATCACATATTCAAATAGTAGCAAAGACAAAGGCAATTTGTTGGATCACAACCTAAGAACTCAACCCACAATCAAGTAATTATATTAAAACTAGAGTTTTCACCAAGGTCGCAACATCCATAAACGAAGCAAACATCAACACTACAAAACTAAACAAATGACAAAAACCTAATCGAAAAGTGAGAATCCCATGTCATCATCACTCTCCTCCTTCTCTTCCTTCTTCTCCTCGGCCGGAGGTGCTTCAGCAGCCGCACCACCACCAGAGGCTGCCGGTGCAGCGCCGCCACCTCCTCCAATAAAGCCACCACCACCTACGCCACCGATGATCACCTGCATAGTTCATAGGCCCGAGAGCAAAAACACACTATGACAGCCGAATGAAGAAAATACCACAAGGATCAAACAAAATCGTGAAAGGAATAAGCCAATAAGGGAGCATTGGCAAGCACATGGAAATAAGCAAACCCTCAATCAATCACAGTCTAGCATATGAGAACTGCGTGTTTGATTCTTTCCTCATGTGTCTGCAAGCACTTAATAACGATACACGGGTCGAGGATCACCACGAAATACATAATGGTAGCAATTGCTTTTCGTACATCACCATTTTTCTCCACCAACTAAAGTGGACATCCCAAACTTGTGACCGTTCACGAAATTTCTCTGAGACACGCACAATCACTTCCTCTAATCAACAGACATCAAAACAGTTCCAACTCACGCTCAAACCACACCTTGACAATTACCATTCACCCTTCCTTCCAAAACATCATATCACAACAAAGCATGTAAAACACAAAGCTCGTGAACGTTAACAAAACCCATAGCAATCAAAATCAAAGATATCAAACAACAATCGGAAGTGTTAAATAAACAGATAAAGAAATACCAATTACAGCAAAGATCAGAGGCTGAACACAAAAACGAAAACGCGAATCGAGCAAAGCAAAACCTGAAACACGCCAGATGAAGGAGTGACGTGAGAGAAGGAAGACTGGACGGCGCCGGACGAGTCGGAGGAGAGAGCGGCTTGAACGAGCTTACGCTGGAGCTCGAAAGTGGATGCGGCGGAAGCCTCCAGCTCGCCGTTAAGCTGCTTCGCCGACCAGTCGTCTCCGGAAGCTCTGCACACGAAGGTGAACACTCCCATTTTTCAGGTGACTTTTCGCCGGCGATGCGGAGAGGATTGAGATCGGCTGAGTTGAGTTAGAAGCAGCTGCAAGTTTGCTCTGTGTCAGATACAAAGGGAACATTTGTAGGGTTTTTTCACTCGAGGTGGAGTGACTAATATGCCCTTACAAATCCCCTTACATTATCTTACATTATCTTAAAGTATTATAATATATGTATGCATATAATATTAATATTATCTTATATAATGATAAAATGATTTAAATAAATAGCACAAAATTGTTTTAGTTGCATATGAAACACTATATTGATTGGATAAAATATATGAATAATGAAATTTTTATGATTTTGAAGGATCATGACTAATTAATCAGCTGAAAAATAATATTAAATCTATTATTTTAAGAGGGTTTGGATATACAATTAACACCAATTTTACTTAAAAAAAAAAGAA